GTTGTTAGGTGCCATCAAGTTGAATATGACTATGAAAAAAAGACCTGAATCTTGTCCTGTCTTGTGCCTTCCTCCTCATCTCTGGCATACTCCGTAGGCACAGGACCATTGCTGTAGTCACTGTGTTAATTGATTACATTGAGGCCTTTCTCTCTTATGGTGACCCTCCACTTTCCCAAGCATGGTATCCCTGTCCACAGAACAGTCCCTCCTATCAAGAAGCACAAAATATGTCAGATGGAGCTTCTCCATCCTTACCTCCAAGGAGCATCCTGGTTGCACTTTCTCTAAGACATATTTCTTTGTTCTTTTGGCAATCTATGGGATATTCATTCAGTACTCTTCTTCAGCACCACAATTCAAAGAAGTCAGTTATTCTTCTGTCATCCTTATTCATTGTTCAGCTCTCAGATGCATAACAAGTGATGGAAAAGACCATGGTCTGTGTCAGCAGCACCTTAGTCTTCAAACTGACATTATTGCTCCTTAATATTCCAAATTACAGAGGAACGATGATTGTGAAGCCAAGTAAAATGAAATTGTTAACAATTTCAATCTATTCTCCATCAAAATATTGTCTATTGACCCAATGGTGAGGATTTTTGTCTTCTTGAGGTTGAGACATAATCCATATTGAAGGCTAAAGTTTTTGATGTTTTGTGGCCAGTGTTTCAAGTCCTCTTCACTTTCAGCAAGCAAGGTTGTGTCACCTGCATAATGCAAATTTTTAATGAGTTTCCCTCTGATCCTGTTGCCACAATCTTCTTAATTGCGTTCAACAGTTTGATTGATCTGCTCAACATGTAGTTTGAATGTTGTTCTTGTTGATTACCTTCAAATCAAGCACAACTCATAGTGACCCAATGAACAAAAGGCCTGAAGCCTCTCTATAACTGTTGACATTTATCAAAGTTCATAGAATTTCTGGAGGCAAGTTGTATAGGAAGTGGATGTCACTCCTGCTTCCAAATAGTTTGAACAGGTATAGAGAAATGTTTCAGCCTTGACAACACACGTGTCTTGATTTAAACCATGCAGTCTTCCCTTGCTCTGTTCAGAAGACAACAGCTTCTTGGTCTAGCTGTAGGCTTTGTTTGAGCATAATTAAATGTTCTGAGATCCCCATTTGTAATGTTAATTACAGTTGGTTATGATTCACATAGTCAAATGCCTTTGCATAGTCAATAAAACACAAATAGACATTCTTCTGATACTCTCTGGTTTCAGCAGTGGTATCCTTAGTGTCACAACCTCTTCAAAATCCAACTTGAGCTTCTGTCAATTCTCTTTCAGTGTACTTACTGTTCTAGCGATTTTGGGATAATCGTCAGCAATATTTTGCTTGCGTATGATATTGTTCAGTGATTTCCCCATTCTCTTGGATCCCTGTTTTGGGGAATGGGAACAGATATACATGTCTTCCCATCAACTGTCTTGTAAATTTTCTAGAACAGACTAATGAGCATGTCTTGGGCAGCATCTGTTCGTTCAAACATGTCAGTCAGTATCCTGCTGATTTCTGGAGCCTTATTTTTGCCAATGCCTTCAGTGCAAATTGAACTTCTTCTTTCATTACAATTGGCTCTTTATCATATGGCACTTTCTAAAATATTTCCGTGTTCACCTTGTTTTGGTTTTTGTTTGTCTGTTTGTTTTTGTAATAATGACTCTGTGTATCTCCTCTGTCTTCTTTTGATGCTTTCTGGATCATACAGGAATTTGCCTAGGCCATCTCTCAGTATTGCAACTCAAGGCTTAAGTTTGTTATTTAGTTCTTTCAGCTTGAAAAGTGACAAGTGAACTGTTCTTTTTTTTATTCTCTAACTCCAGCCAGCCCTATACACATTCCATTATAATACTTTGCATTGCCTTCTTTGAAATTGTCTGTTCATGTCTTTTATTTCAGCATCTCTCCCCTTCGTTTTTGCTTCTTGAATATCTTGTGCAATTTTAAGGGTCTCTCCTGACATCTATTTTGGTCTGTTCTTTCTCCTCTGTCTTTTTGCTTAATAATGACCTTTTGCTTTCTTCATGGATGATACCCTTGATGTCACTCTTGAGATGAGTATTAAATTTAGATGTAATAAATTCAAGGTTGTATTTCGGTTTTGGGGGCCTTGCTTTGATTTCCTTCAGGTTCAATTGGAGTTCCATATGCCTTGGAAGTTGAGCTTTCATGTGCAGTTGTAATCCAGACACTTCTGTGTGAGACTCTGTGTTTGATTGTTAGCAGTTTCAGCTCTGTGATCATAGGAAATAGTTTTCTTTTAGGGCACATATTAGCAACTCTCATATCATTTATGTGGAATGTGAGCTGGAATTTGAAGTTCTAAATGTATCCTTTTCTTTTTTCCTCTGTTAGTGAACGTAGATGCAGCTAGCCAGTGTCATCATACTCTTCAGTGTGACAGAAATCTTAAGGAATCAGACACACAGTCACCTAACACCTTGCTCAACCTAAGTATTAGATTAGGAATGTCCAGTGGTGATTCATTACACTTCTCCATTACAGTAGCCCTCTGTGGACGACGGTCAGTGCCCTCCTCACTACTGGAAGCGGCATCATTATTTCCCTTCAATCTCACCCTGTTTGAGAACGAATTCCATAAACCCCAAAACCAATTTTCCAAAATAATTCTCAAGATTCTGTTAAGAACTTGTTTTTCTAGAGCCACTGCCATTATTGCCCTAGTCAGGATTCTCTAGGGACAAATACACACACACACACACACACACACACAGACACACACGCACACACATAAAGAATTGAATCATACCATTATAGGAGTCTCAGACTTGAAAAACTCAAATTGACTACTGTCAAGTTGATTTGAATTCACAGTGGTCGTCCATTGATTTCTGAGGCTATAAATTATAAAGCATATGGGAGGACATTGCGCACTTTTCTTCCATGGAGAGACTGGAATATTTGAACTGCTGGAGAGACACGGCCTTTGGGTTAGCATTGCAGTTTGCTACAGACCATTCCACCCAAACTCCTCATGAGGTCTAATAAGTTCAGATTTCATAGGTGAGACAACAGCCCCAGGATTCCTTTTGGCTTTTTGTTTTAAAATCTGGTTAACATGGTCAATTTTAACATAGGCATGTTGTACTATGATTAAAGATAGATTTGTTTGTTTTTATGGTCTGTTGAGTTAGGACCAATTCATAGCTGAGTCCCTAGTCCCAAGGAGGACATTGCCTATCTTTCTTCCACAGAGCAGCTGGTAGATTTGAACCGTGTACCTTTGGGTTGGCAGCACAACTCCTTACCACATTAAGAGTGAAAAAAATATATTTTACAGGATCAACCTTCCTAACTCATTAGGACATAAAATGAAAAGCTAAATAAGAAATATATCAATAAATTTGTTTAAATGAAAATTTTTTCGTATAGTAAAATATTCATTTTTAACAGTGAAAATGAAATGACTTAAATAGGGAAACATTTGAAACCCTTGGCTGGAAAGACATCTGATTTCTTTAGTATGCAAAGAAATCTTGTTGTTGTTTGTTATTTTACTGTGTAGAGTCGGTACAGACCCATAGCTGACTCTTCTGCAGGTTTTAAGATGCAGTTAATGGAATGGGAGGAGATGACCCATCCTTCTCTTGTGCCAGCTTCTTGCCACCAGAGCTCCCTAAGAAATCTTACAAATCATTAATAATAATAATAATAATAATAATGAAAATATTAACAATCACCAGAAGATAAGCCAAAGGATACGGAAAGGTAGTGAATAAGGTTATAGAAAATAGAAGTAGACAATAGGCATCCATCCAAAAGATACTCAAATTACTAAAACAAATCAGATGAAAACTGTTACTCAATTTGCTTTTTTTAGCTATTTATTGAGTTGGTGAAAATGTTTCTTAAAATGGTAGTTGTTGTTGGTATATTTAGTGAAAATGTGGGAAGAAATGAACTTTCCTTGTTGCTAATGTCTTGAAAACGTCTATCAGAAGTTAAAATACATGTGACAATTTACCCATCTATCCCAATTATGTAATTAATATATTATCTAAAAGATGTTCGTGAATAACCTGACTCACTGTTTGTAGCAGCAGGTCAGTAGAAATCACCTGCATGTCTTTGATGGAGAACTGATAGACTGCCATCAAATAGAAAACCACTCAGAAAGAATGAAGTCAGTCTATATATTTAGTGACACAGAAGGAGGCTAATGATATAGTATACTTTTAAAAGTTCATTTATGCATTACATCTAATATGTAAGATGTGAATAGAAAATGTTAGAAGGGATAGGCACAAATCTTCTAATATTGGCCATTTATTGAGAAGTAGAGTTGATTTGAAGAGGTGAATTGGGAAGCATCATGTGTCCTAGCTGTTTATTTTCTTTTTCAAAAATAATAAGCATGAAAAAAATTAAAAAATAACAAGCATGTAATAAATTTGTACCTCAAAAAAACCAGTGTAAATGTAGAATTACATTTATGTATTTATGATTGAAAAAGTATCGAAAACCTTTTTCTGCTTTGTTTCCTATTTATATACTGGAAAATATGAACATCATTTTACTGAGGGCAAAGGAAAATGAGTGATTTTACTCTTAAAATTTGAGATATCTCTCAAATCCTAACCTGATTGAATGAGGCTAATGCTGTACCTATCTAGCACGTTACAGTACTGCAGCACTGAGGAAGGGAATACTTGATAATCACCCACATAACATAAAACTTTTATCTGCCTATTTCATTTAAGGTCATTTTGAGTTAAGGAATAGAAATCTATTTTAATTAATTGGATAATATAAAGTCTTAATCCTGTAAAATAAATCACTAAATAAATTTCCTTAAAAGTTATTCCATATTTCAACCTCAAAATAATTTACTTTTATTGTCTTTTAAGCATATATGGTCTTGTAATTTTATCATAGTTGTTTTTTTAATAGTTTAAGTATAAATTAATACAAATATAGGTTAAAAATATTGATCCTATGTTTATTTTACATTATGGCATCAAATTTTATCCAGGTTTCGTCTTGATATATATCGCTGTTTGGCCAGCCCAGCTCTAATAATGTTAACAGAAGAAGATCCAATTCTGAGAGCATTTGAACTTAGTGCTGATTTAAAAGAACTAAGCCTCGTGGAGGTGGAATTCAGGTGGGAGTGAATGAAAATATGAATTACATAGTGCCTTTTATTGAAGAACTTTTTCACCCTGGGTTTCTTCTTACAACATCATACAAATTAAATTTCTTTATATTTGGTCTTAAATGAACACAGCTTTTATTCCCCTTGCTGCCATTACTTAATTTGTTCCTCTTTCACCCTCAGATGGGCAGATCTAACATACTCCTTAGATCATTTTTCAGTTACCTTTAATCCCTTTTTTTTTTCAATTTTGCCAATTACATCTCAGACGATGTGGAAGATTATAGAAGTAGTATCCTAAAAGAGCCAGCATTCTTGCCGTTACTTCTCTTTGATCATTACTAGATTTTTATTATTCTCTTTGGGAGCTTTGGTGGCCTAGTGGTAAGAGGCTGCTCAGCAATCCCAAAGATACACAGAACGAATCCACCAGCTGCTCTGTGGATAAGGATGAATAATCTCCTCCCATGCCAGTTACTGCCTTTGAATTCACTGGAAGGTCAGCTATGGATGGGTTCCCACTCAACAGCACACAACAAAATCATTATTCTCTTGGAATCTGATTCTTCAACTCTTTAAAAGGCATATTGGATACTTTCTGTTTGTCAGGGATGTTCCACTATTTTATGAGCTATTTATGAGCAGGGATGAGCTATTTATGAGCAGGGATGTTTTCACTATTTTATGAGCTATTTCTCATGGGAGGAACTTACATGTAAATGTAAATATACTGCTGATTAAGAGTGATTAATGATTTTTCTTCTGAAATTAGAATTAAGCATAATTCTTGTGTTTTCTATACCCAAAGAATCTTTCATTACTATTATTTCTAATAAGGATAGCTGTGTATGTGTGTGTCGGGAGAAAAAAAGAAAAACAACTAATTTAAACCTTTTTTCCCCATTATCTTTTATTTTATATTGGTTTGCATACAAAATTCATGTAAATTGTGTTTCATTCATATACACTGTTTTTCATACATTCCTTCATTCACATTTTTTCTCATTCAATCATTCCCATACATGGTTTTGTAAAATTATCACCATTGATCTATGCCCACTGATTTATTTTTGAACAGTTTAATTCCATTTTTTTCTTCTTAAATCCTTAGAAAATTTCCTTCTCCAATAAAAGCTTTGAGACTTTCCTTTTCAGTAGAGCATCTGAAGGTGATTAAGACTTCTGTTGGCCCCTAGTGTGAGAGAGAGTAGGTTTAGACTATTCTCACCTTTCCTTCCATGTTCAAGTTTAATGGCATCCTGTATTTTGCATGGTACCCTCTCCAGTTATGTGACAGGACTGGACAAGTTCAAACTTTCACCTTCTAGAGGGACAATTGGAAGTTAGTAATTTTCTGCATTCTTAATAGCAGTACATAGAGTATTCTTGATTATAACGTTTTATCTATCTACCCATTTATAACTTTTTAATTATGAATTTATTAAATTTATAAAATGCGTGACTCCTATAGTGTAAGTAAGGATACATTAAAAGTTATGTTGTAATGATGTCAAGTATGTCCTTTACTTTCGTAGACACATAAAAAGAGTTAAAATGTACCTTAATGCCAGTTTTAACTTTATTAGCATGTAAGACTGTTAGTAAATTATTGATTTTCAAATACAATGAACTTCCTACGATAGTCTCATAGTTTCGAGTCTTGAGTTTTCTCCTTATGTAAAATTCCTTTTACCTTTTCCAGAAAGAATTTAAGGCAACTATTGCTATTGTATTGTAATCATAGAATAATAGAGTCAAAAGGGATCCTTAAGCTCATTATTTTCACAGAATTTCTTGTTTTTGTAGACAAATAAACAGATATGTTAAGTTTAGATATTTTTCTAATATCAATATCTAATTAAGAACAGAGTCAAAATTGGAAGTAGTAGTAGTTAAAACAATAAATACTTGCCTATTGTATGTTTATCAAAACAATAGACACTCATTTCTAAGAATCTATCAGAGATTAAGCAAATTAGATTAGTAAACTGTATTAATTCTATTTGTGAACTTGGTGATCTACTAATTGTTTACTTAGTGATGTTTCTTTAAGAACGCACATTTCTGATGAATGTTCCTATGAATGCGATTAGATTTCTGGACCAAGAAGTCAGGTAGTGTTGGTGAGGTGGTAAAAGACAAAGAATGAATGAGAAAAATATTAGCCTTGAAAGAAGAGAAATTCTTCATTTTTGGATTATGATTTTAACCAACCAGCTCATGGGAAGTCCCACTGTACAGAAAAAATAACTAATTGGTAGTCTTACCATTTTCTACTCTTTTACCCAAAATGTTCCTGCAATTTGACCTCAAGTCCATGATTGAAATTACTTCTGACTTTATTCTTAAATTTTTATTAAATTGAGTCATCAATTAATGTAATTGGTGTTTTGTTGTTTTTTTTTAAAGAATTGTGAAATGGAAGTATGCGATTTCTCACAGATGTGTTGAGGGCAGTTAACAAGCAGTGCATCTGAATGCTGGAGAAATAGTTTCTCAAAGAAACTCCCTAGAAAACCTTGTTTCTTTCTTCTGACCTGAATTCATTCACATAAGTACTTTCAGATCTATCAAAATAATACTGCAATGTCAAAAGCAGCATAAACATGCTATAACTGTCACAGAAAAAATCCACCTGGTTGGAAACTGCCATGTATTGGATAGCTTTAGAATATTCCTGTTGTTTGGATGAGTCATATAGAGTTTTAAGCAAAACATATATATAAATGAGCTAAGTGGACTGGTTGACAAATATTATCAGAGTTTATGGTGCATTTATAGTGGAACCCTGGCTCACTGTTACCACACAGCTGTAGAGAAGCTGTGTGTCTTCAGTTCCTTGGACTATGTGAGTCTAATGTATCTTCAGATTTTGTGTAGCATTGTCAAAATGAAACTGTTACTCACTAACTATAGTTGAATACATGAATATGGTTTATGTGGAAGTTGGTAGTGCCCTTCCTCATGCTAGACTATTGCACTTTTTTAGGAATGATTATGAGGAACTTGCTCGGCAGTGTAAAATGTTTGCTAAAGATTTGCTTGCCCAAGCCCGGAATTCACGTGAATTGGAGGTGATCCTCAACCATACATCCAGTGATGAGCCGCTTGACAAACGGGGATTACTAGAAGAAAGAATGAATTTAAGTCGTCTAAAACTTGCTATAAAATATAACCAAAAGGAGGTGAGACGTTTCCTGTAATGTGTTTGAATTCTTTTTTCCACATTAGTCTATGGCTCAGAGTAAAGACTTTGGTGTAACATGTCTTTGGTTGAGATCCTCGTTCAGCTTTGTACAGGGACTATGTGTCCTTCGGGAAGTTACTGCATCTGTCCAGACTCTGATTTTTAAGGATTAATTAAAGATATAAATTTAACAGGTTTAGCACTGTAAGGACTAACATGAGGCAAGGAGTTAATAATAATGATATTGCCACTATTTTAACAGTTTATTAATAACAATAACACAGATGTACTATATTGGTTATTTTTTATTCAAGCCTCTTGTTTAGAGTCAACAAGACCTTGGGGAATACTTTTGTATTTAAAAGTCAGTTGTTATTATAATTTTGGGGAACATTCTTTTAAGTGGTACAACACTCTTCTGTCTGTTTGCTGTACTGAGGTAACCTGGGGTTGCTGTGATGCTGAACCTTGTGCCACTGGGATGTCAAATGCCATAACGGTTACCCACGGTGGCCATTGTTTGGTTTGGAAGCAGGAATAACATCCACTTCCTAAACAACATGCCTTTGGAAACTCTATGAACTTTGAGAAACTATGATAGTTCTAGAAAGGTGTCAGGCCTTTTGTTCATAGGGTCGCTATGAGTCATGCTTGACTCAACAACAGCAACGTGGATGCTGATTTTATGTTTTTGCTAATAGCTACATAGGTAACAAACTGTGTAGTAAGTGTCTTCATAGTGACACTTCCATCTGGTGTTTTGATATTGAGTGTGTATTTCGGGATGGGTGTGTCAGAGGCAATGTGATTGGCACAGGATAGAGCAGGGTTTAGGGCTGTTGCACATAGGGTCACTATGAGTCGCAAATGACTCGATGGCACATAACAACAACAACAACAGTTACAAATACCCTTCTTGATAATAATAGTCCTTTTCTAGTTAAAAGTAAAGTACCCGATATCATATTTTATATCCCAGTTTTTCTTCTTTATTAATTCATTGTGAATCCAAAGGTAGAAAATTTGAACCTGGCAACATCTTTTCCTGTTCAGGGAAATACCTGTTTCTAATCCTCTGCCCTTCTTCCCACTCACACGCACATACATGTGATTCAGGAACTTCAAGCGCACTTTAAATTTGATTTTTTTTAGATACTTTACTAATTAGCACAAGTGTTGAAATAAAGCTTGCTTCTCAAATTTGTATTAATAATAATATAATTTATAACATAAAAATAGGACCTTAAAAATAGATAATGGTAGAAAGCAAGATACAGAACCTTTAGTGGAAAATTCAAGCCTCGTCATAATTTTGTGACCTAGGAAATTGATGCAAAATGTTAAGGTCTTTAGTTTATGATTACGTATCCAGACTGCTCCCTGGAGGCAAGGATTCTGAAGCTTCATCTGACCTACTTTGGAACTGTTATAAGAAGAAACTAGTCCTTGGAAAGGAATGTCATGCTTGAGAGGGTAGAGGGACAGCACAGGAGAGGAAGCCCCTCTATGAGATGGATTGAGTCAGTGACTAGGGGTAATGTGAGTAGGTGTGTCAGAGACACAGGATAGAGCAGGGTTTAGGGCTGTTGTACATTGGGTTGCTGTGAGTCACAGGCGACTTGATGGCACATAACAACAAAAACAACATCCAACATCTTATTGTGTAATATTATTTGAATATTTGCACATTCTGTTGGATCGCCTTTCTTGGAAATGGAAACAGTTATGGATCTCTTCCAGTCAGTCAGCTGTCCTCCAAATTTCATGGCGTAGACCACTGAGCATGTCCAGATCTGCATCTGTCTTTGGAACATGTCAATTGGCATCCCCACCAATCCCTGGGTTCTTTTTTTTTTCCAATGCCTTCAGCTTGAACTTCTTTCTTCATTACTGTTGGCCCTGGATCGTGTGGCACTTACTGAAATATTTCGATTTTGGTTTGTTCTTATTCTGGTATGATGATTCTGTGATTCTGTGTATTCTATTCATTTTCTTTTGCTGCTTCCTGGATCATGCTAGATTTTGCAACTTGAGGCTTGACTTTGTTTTTCGGTTCTCTCAGCTTGAGGAGTGCCAAGCACATCCTTCCCTTTTGATTCTCCAATTCTAGATCTCTTTACATTCGTTATTATACTTTGTTTTCTCGAGCTGTCCTTAACACTTGTTTCTCTCTTTTACTTCATCATCTTTTCCTTTAGTTTTGGCTTCTCTAGTCATCATTGATTTCACATGCAAGCAAGACTCTACTGAAGATTATCCAGAAACGACTAGAACAGTACATCAGCAGAGAACTGCCAGAAGTCCAGGCTGGGTTTAGAAGGGGTGGTGGTACTAGGGATATTGTAGCTGATGTTAGATGGATCTTAGCTGAAAGCAGAGAATACCAGAAGAATGTCTATCTGTGTTGCATTGATTATGTAAAGGCATTTGACTGTGTGGATCATAACAACAAACTGTGGCTGACTCTGAGAAGAATGGGAATTCCAGAACATTTAATCATGCTAATGCGAAACCTATACTTGGACCAAGAGGCAGTCATCAGAACAGAGCAGTGCAACACTGCATGGTTCAAAATTGGGAAGGGTGTACGCCAGGGATGTGTCCTATCTCCATACCTTTTCAACCTGTATGCAGAGCAGATTATCCAAGAGGCTGGACTCTATGAGGAGAAGCGTGGAGTTAGGATTGGTGGAAGATCTATCAACAATCTGCATTATGCAGATGATACAACCCTGCTCACTGAAACTGAGGAGGACCTCATGCACTTACTGCAGAGGGTCAAGGACTGCAGCCTTCAGTATGGACTGAAGCTCAGTGTTAAGAAGACAAAGATTCTCACCTGGGCCAATTGGCAGCATCAGGGTGGATGGCGAAGAGATTGAGGTTGTTCACAGCTTCAGTTTGCTCGGCTCCATGGTCAACACTCTTGGCACCAGCAGCCAGGAAATCAAAAAACGTGTTGCGATGGGAAAGTCTGCTGTTAGGGACCTCTCTAAAGTACTCAGGAGCAACGGTGTCTCTCTGGAGACTAAGGTCCGCCTGAAACAGGCCATGGTTTTTGCAATCACTTGTTGTGCATCGGAGAGTTGGACAATGACTAGCGAGGATAGACGGAGAATTGATGCCTTTGAGCTGTGGTGCTGGAGAAGAGTATTGAATGTTCCATGGGCTGCCAAGAAAACAGATTCATCCTAGAGAGGGTCAAACCAGGCTACTCCTTGGAGGCAAGGATTCTGGGGCTTCATCTGACATACTTTGGGCATATTGTAGGGAGAGACAGGTCCTTGGAGAGGCACATCATGCTTGGTAGGGTGGAGGGACAGCGCAGGAGGGGAAGACCCTCTATGAGGTGGATTGATTCAGTGACTGGGGTAATCGGGATGGGTATGTCAGAGGCAATGCAATTGGCACAGGATAGAGCAGGGTTTAGGGCTGTTGTACATAAGGTCGCTATGAGTCGCAAACGACTCGACGGCAAATAACAACAACAACAGTCTGCCACTCTTCGGACGCCTGTTTTGCTTATTCCTTTAGTCTCTGCATTGCCTTTTACTCTTTACATGGAGGATACCCTGATGTCATCCTATAGCTTATCTGGCCTTCAATCATTGATGAACAGTGCGTCAAACCTAGATGATTTTTAATCAAGTGAGAGAGACTCGGGATCCTTAAAATCACATGCAAGTAAAATACTGCTGAAGGTAATTTAAAAATGGCTAGAACATAGACAGAAAACTGCAAGAAATTCAAGCTAGATTTATAAGAGGCTGTGGCACTAAGGATACCATTGCTGATATCAGATGGATCTGAGATGAAAGCAAAGAATACCAGAAGAATGTCTATTTATGCTTTATTGACAATGTAAAGATATTTAACTGTGTAGATCATAAGAGATTATGGTTAACATTGGGAAGAATCGGAATCCCAGAATACTTAATTTTTCTCAGATGAAACCCATACCTAGATCAAGATGCTGTTGTGTGACCAGGACAAGGGATCACAACATGGTTTAAAGTTAAGAAAGGTATATGTCAGAGTTGTGTATTTTCTCCATACTTATCTCTGTGCTTAACAAATTATTTGATAAGCTGGACTTTATGAAGAAGAATGTGGCATCAGGATTGGAGGAAGAGTCCTTATGCACATGAAACAACCTGCAGAAGATCAAAGACTACAATGATCAATATGAATTGTGTCTTAATGTCAAGAAAATGAAAATTTTTACCAGTGCATTCATAGGCAACATTATGATCAATGGAGAAAAAGATTGAAACCGTCAACGACTTCCTCTTACTTGGATCCATAATCAGTACTCTTGGTATCAGCAGTCAGGAGATCAGGAGACTTACTGAAATGGGAAAATCTGCATTCACGGACCTCTCCAAGCTGTAGAGGAGCAATGGCGTTAATGAATAAAGGGCACCTAATTCAAGCGGTGGTCTTTTCAGTCACGTGCTGTGCATCTGAGAGCTGGACAATAAATAGGAATGACAGAAGAAGAATTGATGCCTTTGGACTGTGATGTTGGAGAAGAGCACTGAATATCTAATGGACCTCCAAAGGAACATTTATGTCTTACAAGAAGGTGCAGACAGAGTGCTCCTTGGAGGCAAAGATGATAAAGCTTCATCTCACATACTTTGGTCATGTTGCAAGGAGATGTTAGTCCTCAAAGAGGGACATCATGCTTGGGAAGGTGGAGAGTCAGTGAAAAATAGGAAGACTCTCGACCGGGTGGATTGACAGAGTAATTGCAGGGTTTCGCTCAAGTGTTTCAGAGACGGAGCAGATGGCAAAGGATAGGTTCAGGTCTGTTTTATGACTTGACTTGGAAACACTTAACAACAACAACAGACAGCATATTGCTTATCCAGGTATCTGGCTTAAAATTTTGCACCGTATCTGTTACTCTATAGCTTTTTCTTAATATAGAGCACGCAAAGGAAAACTAATAAGTCCAAAAATTTGCATCACTGTGGATATATGATTCTGAGTCAG